AATCATCAAAATCAGATGAGTTAGAGGTTACCTTAGAATCTTCCCCGAATGCCATCAAGCACAAGTTTGCTACTTCTTGTTCCTCTTCATCGGAACCTTCTTCATCGCTCCATGTAGCCACATGAGCCTTGTGCTTATTCTTTAATTGACCCTTCCTCTTTAATGTGGGCAATCATATTTGACATGCCCTGGCTTTTTGCATTCATAGCAAATGATCGAGTCCTTTTCTTTTGGTTCATTTTTTAGGCCTTCATTTCGTTTGAATTTTCTTCCTCGGTAAGGTATCATCATTTTTTTGAACCGTTTGGCAAACAATGCCATTTCCTCGTCATCGTCATCTTCATCTGAATCACTCTCATTTTTGGTGGATTTGAGAGCAACTCCAATACTTTTCTTCTTCTTCTTCTCCTTTGGTGTCTCTTCAATCTTATCAAGGTCCACCTCATCTTCAAGCATCATTTCATGAGTGAGGAGTGAACCGATTAACTCTTCAAGAGTTAAGGATGTTAGATCCTTAGACTCGATGATTGCTGTCTTCTTTGATTACCATAATTTTGGGAGGAGTAGACTAACTTCCTCACAAGTTTTTCATTTGAAATGATCTCTCTATATGATTTGAGATCATTGACAATCGTTGAAAATCTATCCGTCATAGCTTTGATATCTTCATTTGGTTTCATCCTGAAATTTTCATAGCTATACGTTAGAATACTAATTTTAGATTTCTTTACCTCATCGGTACCTTCACGAGTGACTTGAATTTTGTCCCATATTTCTTTGGCGGTTGTACAAGATGAAACTCTTTTGTATTCATCTGGTCCAAGAGCACAAAATATGATATGGATGGCTTTGGAGTTAAGCTGGAACATTTTTGTCTCTCATTCACTCCATAATCTTGGATGAGTGAGAGGCTTGAAGTATCCTTCTTCTACGACATTCCATGCTCCCATGTCACTTTCTTGAATGAAGTACATCATTCTATTCTTCCAATAGGCATAGTTAGCCCCATTGAAGAAAGGAGGCTTGTTGACGGGCATCGAATCGAGATCGGAGTCGAAGTTTGAAGCGGAGGCCATTGATGACTTTGATTATCGATATAACTCTTCCCGAATTGACTCAAGAGGCGATTAAACCTTCAAATGAGTTAGGCTCTGATACCAATTGTTGAGTTAATCGATTGACGGAATTGGCCAAGAGGGGTGAATTGGCAATAAAAATTTTGGTGTAAGCTTTTGCAGAAAATTGAAAATAATTGCACAACGATTTAGAGTGGTTCGACTTTCTCAACCAAAGTCTACGTCCACTACCTTATCTATCCACACTAAGGATTTTCCACAAATTCACTAATTTGTCTTTCTTTTGAGGACAAAGAGTAACCTTACAAACCCTCAAGAATTATACCCCAAATTCTTGAGAACACTCTCTCCCAAAGAGAACAATACAAATTTTGCAAACTTACAAGGAAATCCTCACAAGGTAGATTGTTTGAACAATTCTAGAACAAAGAAAAGAACACTCAAAAATGAATACAATTGAGCACAATAAGTGTTCTTGAAAGCAAGATGAATATTGAATGAAAAATAGTCTTGAAATGCTCAAACTTGAGGTTTGATGCTTTCTCTTTGATTCTCTCTTGATTCTAGTTGCTTGATGTTTCTTGTTGTTGATCAATGGCTTCTAAGCTTGCTTAAATACACATTGAATCACTTCTAAACGTTGGAGATCATTAATGAAGATAATATAGCCGTTTTAGTATGAAAACAATTAATTAAAATAGTTGGGAGCGTCAGTGCATCGATGCATACCCATGGTGCATCAGTGTAAAACTCAAATATTTTGACCGTTGGACCCTTAGTGCATCGGTGCACTAAGAGTGCATAGATGCATCAAGTGCATTCGATGTTTCAAAATAGCCAGAGTGCATCGATGCATAGCTGGTGCATCGATGCATCAAATGCATTCGATGTTTTCATAAAATCCTCAGTGCATCGGTGCATGGCATGTGCATCGATGCATGAAATGCATTCGATGTTCAATTTAATTCATGGTGCATCGATGCATGGATTGGTGCATCGGTGCATCACTCTGAAAAATTTATTTTAGGCTTGATTTTGGTTCAAAATACTTTGTGAAAATTGTTTCAAAAATATATTAAGTATAAAACACAATTTTACACATTTAGTAAGGTTTGAAATTGATCTTAAAAGACTTGGAGTAATAATTTGATATTCAATTAATTAAATCGAATATACTTAGAAAATCATTTGTAAAATCTTAAAATTTATTTAAATTTAATCTGTTATATCGAAACACAAAATGTTTTCAACACTCAATGTACTCACATACCTTAAGTTCTCACTGGTGTACATGGGCTAATAAAGAGATTAAACAAATATACTAAAGGTGATATGCATATGTGATTTATTATATGGAATAAATTACAGGATTCATGTATTGGTTATATGAAAGCATATATGTTTTAGTTATATGAACTGTATTACATGAAGTATATGGTGTTAAGTGTATTTCTTTATGAAATGATATATGATGTGTATAAATGATATGTATATGATTATATGATAAAAGGTATTAATGATAATAATAGGATAATGATAAGGAAGAAGATAATCATATATGTACAAGTGTGGATTTGATATATGAATAGAAATATGATAGTATATGTGCATGTATGTAATTTAATATATGAAATGTTTTATGATTTTTATTATATGTTTTATATGCCTCACTAAGTCAACGACTTAGCGTGTGATTGTTTCATACGTAGGTTCCGAGAAGAGGAAGATAGATAAAAGTTATGCAAGACAGGTCAGTTCCTCCTTTCCGAAGATCAGATCAGAAAAGAAATGTATAGTATGTATTTTGTAATAAGGAAAGCGGTTGACATGTAAATAAAGGATTAAATTCGATATGTTCTAATCGGTTTTGAAAAGTCATACGATTGAGTTTTTTTTAATGTTTTAAATGCGTATATGTAATTGATAAAATTTATACGGATGAAAGCTTAGATTTTTACGAGATTATACGTATTTTTACGAAAGTTACTGTAGCAGTGCATCGATACACAGTTTATATTCGAAATTTTTCACTGTTCATGGTACTGTTCACAAATACGCATTTTTTTCCAAATTTTTATAATAAGCATAATTTAATAGTATTTATTGTATTTTCTTAATATAAGTTCAAATGTTCAGTTATTTTGTAAGGAAATTGTTTTAAAAAGTCAATGTGACATCTCGAACTCGTATCCGGGTCGGGTACGGGTTGGGGTATTACAATTACTATATATATACATAATAATAATAAAATAATAAAAAATAAAACAAAACAAATCCGGACAAAAAAAGTGTCTACAGATAGCTTTTGGTGTCAATATTAGACTTAAAATCATGATTATTACTCGTAAGCTGTCAGGTTGAATAAATACAATCGCTTGATGATAGATATAGTCATGACAAATTTCGTAGATTTTTCGGTAGTCATGACAAGAATATTATCGAAGACGATGATTGGTAGTATTTGACTTCGGTGTATGTGGTCCATTAGTATGTGGTCAATAGAGACTTTAACCTTTGGCGACATTTTTTTGAAGGAGATTCAAATGAGGTATAACAAGTTACAAATTAGGAAGTTTTAGGTTCAGATAAACTATTCTTTGTTTGTACCAAGGGTGGATACATATTTATTATTTTGGATAAATTATTAAATATAGTTCAATTTATTAAGGAAAATAAAAAAACACAATAAAATTTGCATACCCATTTTATTAAAGAAAAATATTAAAATTTTTGGACCCTCTTCTTTAAATTTCTGAATCTACCACTAATTACTAATACCGAATTAAATCAATCATTTTAAGTATTGTGGTTAACAAGGCAAATTGGTTTTCATCTGTCATATTAATGCCGGTTCTGGCTGTACTGGACAACAACAAAAGGAAAAACAAGAATGCATTGGAAGATTGTGATGAACCTCTTTGTGGTTATGTAGCAAATCCCAATATTTTCGTTGCATCTCTCCTTATATTTCCATAGTTACTATTGAAACACGTTATACATACATTGACAAGAAGGGCATATACAGTAGGCATTAAATCATCTCCTCCTCGGCTCGATGGGTTACGGTATTTCAATGCCAAAAGTCCGAACAACCTCAGCATGTCTTCGAAACAATGACGGAGCTGTTGCGGATGGTGTCATCTTGGTGTTACCTGCAGAGCATGCTGTGCCTATGGAGAAGATGGGTTCAGAGGGCAAAGAAGGGCCCAAAGATGAACTCGAGAGAGACGACATCATCGAGTGTCCTCGATCACCAAGTTTCAAGGTATTTTGCACTCATGAAAACACCCAAGGAGATGATAATGCAGAAGAGGTAGAGAAGGGCAAACAACAGTGTGATGCAGAGAACGATAACAACAAGGAATGGAATTAGTTTATTTGGAAATTATAACCTTCATGCATGGAAATTTCAACTATTAGCCATTGAAGAATAACTGACGTTTTTATTTGGTTTGTTTGCAGCAGGGATCAAGTGATGGAACCAGTTAGAGAGGTACAGTAGGGATAGGAATCATGTGGGTTAAGCAAAAGTTAAAAGTATCTTGGGGGTAGAAAACTATTATTTGTATTTCTTTATTATAATTTGAAGTTTTATCTTTATATTTTAATTTAACATAACTTGATTCTACTATTTTTATAATGTCAGTCATAAATCTAAATTATTATCACTTAAAGCATGAACCAACTTACCTCAATAGTTAAAGAAATCGATTTTGTTCCTAGAGGTCATGAGTTCGTACATCGATAACTGCAAGGGTAATTAAATGTTTATTGTAAAAAACTTAATTTGATAAAAAGAAAAAAAAGAATGTCAATTGAATGTTTAAGGATACTTTAAAGCAATTTGGTTATAAATAATATTATATTATATATAAGATATTTAATAATTTTGATTAATTAACCGATTTCGTCACATTAATGATTTCATTCCTAAATTTTTGGCCATTTCTTCTAATGGTCCAGCTTTCTGTCTTTATTCTGTATCCTACTTTTGCTCCTAATAGTTCCCTTAGACTTATAAATGGAACGTGTTTCTTCAACCTTGATCTACAAATCCGAAGAGAAGCTTTGCCTTTGTTCTTTGACATGTAATTATGCAACCTTGATGCAAACAGTCTCGAGTTTCAAATCTCGAACGTCGGGACTTCTTCAGTGAAACCATGTGTAGCCTGGTATAACAACCGAGGCAACAAATTCCTGTAGGGGTCTTCTTCTCTTTTTTCCTTCAAGTAGGCTATGCATTTCTCAACTTCTGACTTCACATGCAAATACAGTTCCTGAGATTTCTCCCTGCTTCTTAGCTCTTTTTTCATCCCTTCAAAAAATATACACAAGAGTATTGTGTCAATTATATTGCTAATGAACATCTTTATTCAACAAATAGTGTTGAAAGAAAGTACCTTCTGTTTCGATAGGTTTCCCGAAATAATAATAAAATCGGCCAGGCAATTTCGGAATAACTCCGGGAAGGTGGACATCTTGGTTTGACACCTCACCATTTGCATCAGTCCTACCATTCCAAACTTGTAAGGATACCAGAAAGAGAATGATGCAAGGGAAGGAATATGTAGCAATTATGGAAAACTTCAGATGCAAGGTATGTCTCAGAGAAATAATGGTACCTCAACTGCACAACCTCTTCTGTGAGTTCTTTTATGAAGTCCTCAAGGAAGGAATTTGCATTTGGTCATTGTAATCAAAAACTAGCTGACAACAGTAATCCGTATGAAAAAAAATATGTATGTAATATACCAAAAGAGAAAGAAAAAAAAAAGGAAAGAAAAGGATGGTACACAGTGTTTCATATGCAAAGCAGATTATCCATGTCTGTCTCACCTCAAATTTAAATTGCATCATACCAAATTTGCATAAATTTAGGCTATTAATTTATCTCGATTTTACTTACGATGTCTTCCTTAATGTAGAACAATTACCAAGACTACAAGCACACGGTCGACAAGAAGACCGATGTCTCATCATTCATGTGCTCCAAAACAATATGCTACAGTAGAAAAAAACATTTGGCTCACCTCACCAATATCATCCTCCCCTACCACACCAAAAGGTACAATTCTGGCTCCAAATCTAGATGCCATCCTCACAAACTCCGACTGTTCTGGCCAGAATAACTTGTATTCTTCACCCTGAGAATTTTTAAAAAGAATATGTGCGGGTTCAAGAGATGCAATTTTCCTTTAAGTTATCAACATTAGACTGTGAGAGAGTGAAATTTTGTAGGATTAAAATATGGAGAAAGACACTAAGGAAAGATCGAGAAGCAGAAAATCTATCTACCCATCACAGTCGCTATTTTTTAATTCATAACAGAGGCATGTAACTTGTGTCAAGTATGGAGAAGCCTGAACTTCTTCTGTTAAGATGAACATTTGAACAATTTTTCAGATGGATAATGTCGCCATGAAGTGGTATATTACCTTCCTATGAAGAGCCTCACGAACACCTCCAGGATACAGTAAGGCATGAGACTTTGAAGAAAGAAGTTTGTAGAAGTTGGGTCCGGAGACAGGAACTGCACCCATTAGTCTATATGTGTCGAATGATGCTAGATCAAGCATTTTGCCTTCTTTAAATCTATTAAACATCATTGGATGGGCTATCCCTCGCAAAAGAATATTTCTCTCCATCATAAACCGAAGCACTAGGGGAGCTAATTCAAATGCAAGCAACATGTGATAACCAACAAACAAGACTGGTCCCACTGAGGGTATTCCAGCCAGGCCCCTCACCACTTTGCCATCCTCTAAAGTTGAGAGCATCACAGGACTAGTAACAGCAAATACCATTCTACGAATAACAATATTTTGAGACAATAGTATTAGCTGTTGACGTGCTTGCACGACTAACAAAATATGCTATAATTGGGAACTACCAATGTGATCTAGTCCACTTCAAGTAAAAGCATACACATCAGCATGGATGAATAAGGTAAAGCTTTACCAACCAACAATTTTACATACCTGAGACAAACAAAATGTCATTCTTCCAGTTGGAATCACTCATGATTTATTCTTGCTAATGCAATTTGCACAAAAGTTTTCCTATAGGAGGATAATTATTACCTGTATGATTCATATATTTTCTTGAATTCATAAGGTGTTGGTGGAATGTAATCTGACACGTAGTCCAGGTATTTTCCATGGCGATAGAAACTAGCACCCTTGATGGTTGTTACCAAATCAAAATCGTCTTCCTGCAATGAATGAGAACAACTATGATGCATATTAAAATGGGTTCTGAAACCATATTTCAAGAAATTTAAAGATTATGCATTACCATGTAAACAAACGATACTTTCGTAGACTCATCTGAGTTAGTTATCAGCTTTATTTAATCTCCTTCTTACCCAAATTTCTATCAAAATAATTTTCATGCTGCTAACTAGTTACAAAGCATAAAAGAGAGAGAGATAAGAGTCCTACTAAGAAGAGAAAATGCCCACTTTCTTCAAAAGTACGGATCTCACATTTAGGCAACCTGCAGTACAGTCTTTGGGCTTCCTCTTGACTGGGAAACAACTGATCCTTTCCACTAATGAAAAATAGAAATATCATCCATCATCACAATAAAGTCCACAAACTAGGCGAGAATATTAACAAAAAAGATCAATGGATGGAGCTGATGACTACGGACCTGCAAAGCAATAGTGCTTGAGCTTTTACAGCATGGAGGTGTGAATTGACAGTTGCAGAAGCAGATTTAAGCATTTGCAGCTTCCAGACAAGTGTTTCCCCGGGCAATATGTCTGCCAGAACCTGATACTTAAATTGTCAATTCTATTGGCAAGAAATTGGAAAATATTAGGAGAATTGTATTGCGTGAGTGTCATAACCTCCACGAGGCTATCATCTTTTCACAAATGACCTCAAAGATACAAGTGTATTGAAACTATCATCTCCATATATATTTTTGCAACAAAACGATTTAGCTGAAGACTACAACAAGAAATGTCGACTGAAATAGTATTAATGCTTCATGAAAGAATCTTACAGAGAGGTAAGATGAGATTGCAACCAGGTCCTGTGTTAGCTCTCCAATGGTTTGGTGTGGCATAAGTCCCTTCACCGTATTTTCCAAGACCATCCTCAGATGATCACCTAAATAGATAGCAATGCTCATATCTCACCAACATTCATAATTCTCTGATCAGCAATAACAAGAATAAATCTATGAAACACTATGCTATAATATCATTGCTTTACATGTTTTCAACGAGAATTAATTAACATTCTTCTCTTAAGGCAATTAGACTAAATAAAACAAGTTGTACACCTCAACCTCAGGTAAGTAGCAAGGCCAACAAAATGGAAATTTGAGAACAAACTCCAAACCTGATGCCAAGTTCATCATATAAGGGAGGTAAGGCAAGAGTTGACTGGGCATGAATTGCAGTAAAGGTATTAGAGATTGTAATTGTGACCTGCTAAATGATGTAGCTGCAAACAGAACCGAAATACAATGATCATCACTCTTTAGCCAGTTTTCTGGGTCTGAAATACATCTTATCTTAAAATATGATATCATAACTGTGTCCTATACACTTCTTACTATTACTGTTATGTTCAGGTCCCTATATCAATCCTTTTTTATTGTCAACAGGATTATAACAGCATAAGTTTGCACCTGGATTAGCCAAAATTAGCATGAGATCAATGTCAGGGTTACGAGCAGAAACGTCTAAGGCAATGCATGCTCCAAGAGACTCCCCAACAATATAAATTGGTCGGTTTGGTGATCTCTTGCACTCGGACCTTACTGTTCCTTCAACCAGCTTCACTAGATCTACGGAAGGAAAATAATGAAATTGAAGATAATAAAGATGAAACAAGATTAAGACAGGCTATTGATAATTTATTTCTGATTTAATATTCATAAAGAGACTTTTTGATCAACTAGGCATTAGCTTTTTTGCTTTGTTCTTTGTGAGAAAGCAAACCCTGAACCATTTACAAGTTAATTACCAAAGCAGTTAAAATGAGTTCTCGAGATAATCAAGTTGAAAAAAGAAGAAGAAGAATTTCTCAATCATGAATAAGAAAAATCATAATAAAGAGTAGTAGATAACATTTACCAGTTACTTTGTAAGATTTATCATATAAGTAATGATTAATATTTGCTTTTATACCATCTTTAAATGGTAAAAAATATAAAGTACACAACAAGGACTACATGTTTTTAACATATGCATGAAAGCAAATGAGTATAGAACAAAAAGTAAGGATGTTATTATTACCCGTAAACGATGTTTTATCCGTAACTGGAATATGCAAACACCACATATCGAAAATCCTGCATTCAATATCAGGAAGGGGGGAAAACACAAAGAAATTCAAATTCTATTCAAAACTTGAGAAAAAGAAATAAATTCGACTGAAAATAAGAGTAATATTTCCACTTACTTTCCAAGTTTACGATTATGTTTAATGAGTCCAAACCCCATGCCATCTATCCCTGTATCGGTAAATTCCAAATATAAATTTCGTTTCCAAAAGTTGATAGCTTTGAAGTTAATGTCAGAAGCTAGCTACGATTTCCTTATAAGAAAAGAAATCGATATCGAACCAGGCAAGAAGAGGAGGAGAGGAGAATCACTGGTGTAGGACCCGCACTCCAAAGGAGTAAACCACCGTGGCGGCCCCGCCTTTGGTTCAATCATCAAATCTTTACACTCTTCCAAATAATCTCTCAACGTTTCTCCCTTCTCATCTGGTATTTCGTCCGGATTGGAGTAAATTTTTGATATGAACTCGTTTGCTTCCTTCCTCTTCTTCTCCCCCAAGTCCAACGATATTCCGTTCTGCATCGTGACCCTCGCCGGCGACGAGCTCTGGTCTGCGGATACCGCCATGGGTCGATGTAAGCTTACACATCGGTACCTCCCGGAATTAGCGTGCGTTGACTTCACAAACGGAATGTAGAGAAAGGGAGAAGATCCGGTTGCCGCCATGGCGACGTATTCCTTTTAGCTCTCTGATTGAAGCAACAGTGGAAATGGGAAAATTGATAAGGAAGGATTAAAGAGACAAAGGAGCATATAACAAGGTGTACGATGCTCAGCTGTATGTATAGACTGATTCTTTTAGATAATTATGCTTTTTTTGGCCATTTTCTTTTTGTGTTTAGTAGAATAATTACGTCGCCTTATATAAAATGTCCATATCAAGAAAGTTATTTATTGGTTAGGTGTAACCGACTCATTTTATTTTATATTTCATATTTGATAAACTACTCTATTATTCATTAGATTTTATTCTCTCTTATATTTAATTTATTATACTTTAATTTTTTTCGATTCAATTACCGAATTTTTAAATTATTCTTATTTTGGTCACTATAAATTATTTTATTATTATTTTGATACAATATGACATTTTTTATTATTTAATATAAAATAATTTAAAATATAAAATAAAAACATATGGTGGTGTTCACTGTTTGTTGGACGCCATTGTCGACGACTGTAGATTGTGACTGTTTGGTTTCAGATTTTATCGGACGCTTCGTTCAACACCTGAGTCTGAGTCCAACCTCCATTTTGTCGGAGCATGCTCCAGATCAAATTAAAAGTGAAAAAATTGAAACATCGGTGTTGTCGACCGCTTTAGATGATGGTCTTTCGGTCTCAAATTTCATGGGTCACTTCATCTTGACCCCATAAGTTCAAATATATCCTCTATTTTCTCGAAACATACTCCGAATCCACAAATAAGAGATCGAAAGTAAGGAAACCAAAATGTTTCAGTCGAGATTCAGAGTTTTTGGATATTTTTTTAATAAAACAAGCACTGGATTCAGACTCAACATGTCGAAGTAAATCTCTCGATATAATTTGGAATCAAATAGTTACTGATTCCAAAGGCCAACGGTGACATGAATGGGTGGTGGTGATGTTGTGGGTGATGGAAAAGTGAAAACATTATTTTATTATTTATTTTTATATTTTAATAATAATAATATATGCCATGTCATAGATAATAATAATAAAATGATTTGTAGTAACAAAAATAAGAGCAATTTGAAAATTCAATGAGTAAATTAAAAAAATTAAAAATACAGTGAGTGAAATAGGAAAGAGAGTAAAATTCATTGAGGAATGGTGTAATTTACCCTTCATATTTAAGCATTTTTTTAAAATTAATATTTAAATTGTAATTTTAACTACTAATTTCATATTTTTATATCAGTGTAAGTTAAATTTTCTTTTCACATATTTATATATATCTATTCAAAAAAATATATCGACATAAGTTTGTTAAAAAATAGTGAATAAATTGAGAAATAACTCACTAAAAAATACGATAAATTATTTTATACAGATAATTTAATGATTTCTCATTTCAGAATTGATTAAGGATTTTATGATTTATATTTTAAAACTAATTTAAGGTTTTTTTAAAATTGATTTTAGGGTTTTATATTTTATATTTCAAAATCAATTTGGAATTTTAGGAACATACTAACATCAAACAAAAAGCATTATGCATCTACATCAAAACTTCAAACAAATCAAATTTAGAAAATTTCAAGTCAACATAAAAAAAAAATAGTCTAAATCTTATAATTGATTCTATATTGTCTTATTAGAAAATTTTCGTAAAATTATATTTATTTTTATCAAATTATTTAGTTTGAATCCTTCATTTGACCATGTCTGTAACACATCTGTCACAGTCTAGTTGAAAACTAAACTAGAGATATCTCATCAATTGATCAAAACTTAACCAAATTCGAATCAGAATCAAATTGAATAATCAATCTTATAAATCATAAAAAAATTCTCCATTTTGAACTAAATATCAATTATAAAAAACTTGAAAGTCCCAAAAATTAAAATAGAACATCAAATGTGATTAAATTGTAAGTTAGCCAAAATGGGTTTGGGTTGGAAACCTTGTTGAGGGGTTTCCAAAACTTTTGAGTATATTGTCCCAATGATTCCTAAACCTTGGGTTTAGGGTTTCGAACTAAGAGTAATATGCCTCAAAAAGGATTCAAAACTTGGAAATGTTCTATACCAAAAAGCAGCTTCTGCTGTGAGGCGGTTAAAATACGGTTAAAAATAGCGTGACTGGTTAAATAAGTGACCGGTTAAAAGCACTACCAGAAATATTATATGTTTTTACCAGAAATATTATTTGTGTTTGTAATAATAATGGTAATAACGGGAATATTATTGTCGTATGTAAAATGCGCCAAAAAATATTGATTTTAACATAATCGTTTAATTACTGTAAATATTATCAACCATAATAACATAACAGTTAGCACTTATTTAATGTAACAGGCAGTGCATGTTTAAAGTTAAAGGGGCCTTAGAAATCCAACGATAACAAAATAAGTTAATTACTTAATTTGTCATCAATATTATTAATATATTAGATAGCGCCTAAAATATTACCAAAGTTTAAGCTGATGGAGGCTTATAAATCCAACGATAACAAAATATGTTAATTACCTATTTTGTTATTAATATTATCAACATATTAGGTAGATCCAACTGATTTGACATTCGAAATCCCACGACAACAAAATAAGTTAATTTCTTATTTTGTTATAAATAAATATTAACATACTAGGTTGCACTCAATAATGTTATTTTGAATAAAGAAGTAGGTTACAATCTGGAATATTAAAATTGTGTTTAATGATATCAGTAAGATTTAATATATTACATATCTTTGGATGACAATTATTTTTAAAATAAATATTGATACTACTATGATCTAACGGTCGATACTTTAGCAAATATCAATATCATCTATGATGTTCGATATTTTTATTATTTTAGAAACTTGTTAATTTGAAAGAAAAAAAATTGAAATGTTAAGATTAAAAGTGACTTATTTACAAAATTCCATTAAAATATCTTTGTAAAAATATTGATACTTAGAATAGATGTATGGAAATTATTTTATACTTAGTTTATATGTATCAGTATGTATTCAGGAAAATTATTAATACCCGATATCGATACTTTAGAATTTTAGATTTTTGATAATTGTTATCGAGACTTCAGCATTTGAAAAAAATTATGAATGTTAAAATATCGATAATTGATATTTGATGTATCAATATTTTTGAAAAAGTTGATGAATTCTACCCCTCACATCAACCTACAAGTATCAATACTTTCGAATTTTAAAAAAATATTTCAAACGGTTAAGTTGTATATATTTTACCGTTTACATTATTATTAACCTTTAAACAAGCCATTAGCTAGTTTAACGTAATAGGTAGCGCTTATTTAACATAATAGGTAGCGCCTATTTTATTTTACCGTTTACATTATTATTAAACTTTAAACAAATTGGTAGCTAGTTTAACATAATAGATAGCGTTTATTTAACGTAATAGGTAGAGCCTATTTTATTTTGCCGTTTATAGCATTATTAACCTTTAAACAAACCATAGCTAGTTTAATGTAATATGTAGCGCTTATTTAACGTAATAGGTAGTGCCTATTTAACATCATAGGTAGCACCTATTTTATTTTACATTTATATTATTATTAACCTTTAGACAAACCTGTCGGAATGACCCTTAAGCTTTTTAGGGATATGTGGGGAGGGATCCAACTTAATCTTGGAAAAGGTTGGGTTTTAAAATAAATACATAAATAAACAAATTTGAAGTCACCATCAACCTTTGGGTTATGTAGGTCGAATACCTAAAAATACCTTTTAAAATAATTTTAAGAAAAATAATTTTAAAAGATAAAAAATGATCCGCGTTTAACTAGAAACTCGTTTTTGAAAAGGGTTCGGGAGTCGATTACATGTGGGAAAGGATTAACACCCCACAACACCCGAAATCAGTACCTAAACGATTATATGTCATCTAAATATTGAAATTGGCAAATTCAAATATATATTTAAATTATGATCATTTTTAGAAAATAAAAAGGGGTATTATTTTGCACGAACAATTCTCGAAAATACCTTCCTTGTCAATTAAGGGGGCATTTCATGGATTCCCATACAAAATAATGTTACCCAAACACATATATTAATTATATTAAAAATTAATTCATTCAAATATAAAATGTATTATTTTATTCGAACAATTCTTGGAAACACACTCATTGTCAGTTAAGGTGCATTTCTATAAATTCCTCGAGTAAAATAACATTTAAAAATATTACAACTAGCGAGTAATTAATAAAATTGCAAATGATGGATCAAAATAATAAAGATTATGACTTTAGGGATTAAATCATAAAACCAACAAGAAATCAAGGCAACAATTGCAAATATTTCACAATCCAAGCACTACAATCATAAATACACCAACTTTAATCTTTCAAGACCAAAATGAAAATTACTAAAGTAAGACACTCAAATTAAAATATTTTTAAAAATAAGATTACAAGTGAAATGGGAATAAAATGAAATAAAAATAAAAACAATATCCAAATCATAAACTATCAGTGGCTAAAATGCATAAATTGAAGATTACATATCTAAATTATAATTAAATAATAAACATAACCCAAACAGTGGATAAAAGGAATAAAAATAATAACCAGTGACAAAATTAGAATAAATTACAATAATAAAAATGTCTAAATTGAAACAGATACAAATTATAGTACAAAATTAAAGAAATAAACTAAACCGAGGACTAGTGACCGAAATGAAAAAACACGCATAAAGTATAGGGACTCGGAAGAAAATAAACCAAAAAGTTAATACTGAAAAAAATATTACTAAATCAGTCCCTAATTATTTAAAAAAATTAAACAGTCACTACACATGAAAAAAATGCAAAACGCGCATAAAAGTGTAGGGACCATAATGAAAATAACTCTAAAAATATATAGTATGCATAAAAATGGGTAAATCACAAGTTCGGTCCCTACAGTGACCATTTTGCAAAAATGCGCTAAATGTTGTAGGACTTAAAAGCAATTTTACCTGAAATTTTACCATATATACAACTTATTCTTTTTTTTATTTGAGCACCAAACTAGAAAAAAGGGGAGAGACAAAGTCTCCTCTCTCTCAACTGGTTTCGACCGGCCCACTGTCGGTCGTCCTACGCTC